TCTGTGTCCTCATAGCTTACAGGTAACCCTCCTGGATTTTCTAGAACTTTCTCTCCCATACTCCACAGCAGATTGTTCAGGTGGCCTCCAGGCTCCCCTCACTCTGTGCAGAGGGCCTGCTGCTGGACTTTACGGAGGTTGAGGCCTTCAAACAGCTCCTTTCAGTCCGTGGGTTTCCCTTCCCTCTCGGGGACCTCTGGGTTGAGTGTCCCCTCTCCTGTACCTCCTGGCCTTTGCATGCTCTCCGTGGCACCCATCAAAACCCACCCTCCCTAGCAACCCCCTCTTCACAACCTGGTTCCTGACTCAGAGTGGCTGGTATCCATTGCTGTCCCTTACCTCGGTGCCCTTCAGTCTGGCCTCTCCTCCCATGGTCACTGACGCTGTCCTCGGTCAGGTCACCAACTGAGTCCTTGCAGCTAAGTCCAGTGGTCTGCATCTAACCGTCACTCAGAAGCACTTGGTCTCGCTGGCTGGTGCCTCCTGGGGAGGTCTCTGGTGGGGTCCTCTGCAGTCCTGGTCCTCTGCAGTCCTGGTCCTCTGCAGTCCTGGTCCCCTGTAGTCCTGGTCCCCTGCAGTCCTGGTCCTCTGCAGTCCTGGTCCTCTGCTGTCCTGGTCCTCTGTTGTCCTGGTCCTCTGCTGTCCTGGTCCTCTGCAGTCTTGGTCCTCTGTAGTCCTGGTCCCCTGCAGTCCTGGTCCTCTGCAGTCCTGGTCCCCTGCAGTCCTGGTCCCCTGCAGTCCTGGTCCCCTGCTGTCCTGGTCCTCTGCTGTCCCAGTGCTGTTCGTTCTTGGCTCCTGCTGGGCTCGTCTTCTGGTGCCACGTCTACCCTGGGCTCCCCATTTGAGCTGTACCCGTCCTCCTGGAATTCTTTCAGTTCCTGGTGACAGAATCCAGAGTCAGACTGAACTAACCACAAGAACACCAGCACTGCCAGGGAGAAGAGCACAGTCTGAAGGGGACCCCCCGACCTGAGCTGGCTGGTCCGAGGCAGACTGAGGGCTCACAAGCAGCCCCCCTCTGCCTCTTGGTTCCTTTTCCTCTGTGTTCTCTGCCGTCTCAGGCAGCCTCTTGCCAAGAGGTAGCCAAGTGCCTGCCGCAGTTTCAGGCTGCTCCAGCCCTCTTGGCTGACACAGGTTGCTTCTCCCCGTTCTCTGGGCCTGGAATCAGTCTTGCCCTCCGCACACCTGCTCACTCACCTAGTCTGGGCCCGGCTCCTCTGTCTCTCCCCTTCCCCTGGCCCGGTCTCCCTTGGTCGGATTCGTGCTGCAGACTCCTGGTGGGTTCCTGCTCAGCCCCGCAGCCTGGACCACCTTTCAGCCTGCAGATGAAAGCAAAGGCAAACTGTTCTGCTCTGGGAGGGCCGGCTGCCCAGCTGCTGCTTCCCCTTGTCCCTTGTCCTCTGCAGGTCTGCCTCACATGCAGCGAGCCCTCTCCCGGGGGCTCTCCCCTCTCTCCTCAGGGCTCCCTCTGCTGGGAGGGCCCCGCTCCTCGGCTCTGGGCTCAGACTTTTGCTCATGCCTTCGCTCTCACGCTCTCACGTGGACGTGGCTCGGGGAGAAGAGCCTTCTGTGCTGGCGCACGTGCTTCCTGTTAGATGTTCTTTTCTGTCCTGTTCCTCATCACTGGGTTGTGGTTGCTTGTTAAGTCACCTGTATCCCTCTGCCCACTGAGGTCTGCAAAGGCAAAAGCCCCCTCATTCTGTGAAATGTCCCCGGCTGGACAGAGCACTCGACATGAACTCGTGGAATTTTAAGATAAAATGAGATGCAATTGCACCAGGTGATTTGCCAGGACTCTAGATTTTAGGAAGTCGATTGATTCCATACACTACTGGAGAATCTAAAATTGTAATTGATGTCCACTCTTTATTTCTATGCTTATTGGTCTTCCTTAAAGGATGTCAGAGATTTTGAAGTGAGGAAGTGCTAGATGATTACCTAGTTCTAACTCATGTCCTTTGACTGGTTAGGAGGGAATTGCTCAGAGGGACTTGGTGGTGACGTGTATATGCTGCAGAGCTATTTCTGATTGCACAATTGCACCTGAACTTTGAGCTCTTGACCTCTAGTCCAGGGCCTTTTCCTCTTCATCATGGTATTAACACTTAAAAAATGTTGGGAGGGTGCTGGAGGTTGGACTCTTTGCCCTTGCTTGACCATGGAGCCACAACTGGTATTGGTGTCTTGAACGGCTCCTGGGGTACAATTCTGTGCAGTACAGAAGCCTTGCTGCCTGTTTCCTCACGTGATTTTACTGATCCGGTACCTTTTAGGATGCTAACAGGTTTTCAGCATGAAACTCACTTCCCAGCCTGCAGAGCCTGAGGGTCCATGAGGTTCCGTCCTCTTGGGTAGGGCTGCTGTCCCACAGGTCACCCACAAAGAACTGGCAGTTTCACATTTTACCCAGCAGGGTCCTTGATGAGTAGGTGCCCTGGGGGTGATGCTCTGAGGAGCGCACTAGGTTGTGGAGAGGGAGTTGTGAACGTGGGCTCAGTGCTTTCTACTAGCTGCTCTTCGTCCCCTCTGGAGCTCACCGTCAGGTCCCCAAGGGAGTGTGAGCTTCAGGGATGGTTGTTTCCACAGAAACCAAGTGAAGGCTGGAAAGAGTAACTTCCTTTTTGCTCTTTTTGTTGTAGATGGACACAATACCTTTGTTAGTTATTTTTTTGGGTGCTGGGGAGCCAACCCAGTGCCTCCCGTGTACGAGGCAAGCTCCCACTGCTGAGCCCCAGTCCTGGCGTAGTTTTACGTGTGAAGCGCCTGGTGGGTCCTGCCAGTCTTTTTCACTGTGAGTCAACAATATTGCGGATGTTTGCATCTTTTGTCCTCAATCTGGGGACATGCTTTGCTTCTTCTGGAAAGGGGACAGAGACAGGGGATACTCTAAAAGGAAGGGCTCAGCCTGTCTCTGTTGGGGCTTGCTGGGTGTTGGTCATAGTTCTTGTCACTGAAAAAGAAATTCAAAAAGAAGTGAAAGAGGGGTTTAAAGTTACTTAAAACAGATGTTTGTGCTCAAATCTAAGAATTCCAAACATAACCCTCTGACCCAGCAAGTCAACTTTTGGAAGTCTTTCCTATGGAGATAATTAAACACATGCAAAAAATATTTTTGAACATGTGTTCATTTCAGTCTTGTTGTCTTCCTTTGGTGTCTGTTTTGGGGCTGAGGCTGGGACCAGGGTCTCACCCAGCAGCATGGCTTTACCACGGGCCTACCTCCTGGCGCTCGGCCTAGTGTAGGATGGAGAAGAGTTGGAAACCACCTAAATTTTCAATTATAGGGACTTAACATAAAAATAAGAATAACATTCTTTGTTAAATTATATATTTCCTGATATATAAAGATATTTATGATTTATTGGAAAACAGAAAATGTACATTTCATCCTACTTTTTTGTAAATGTAAATATACAACAATGACTAGGATATTCATGATTATACAGTTGTGAGGAAATAAATATTTTTGCTTATCTGTACTTTCAGCTTTTCTACAATAAGACCTTATAAAATTAATAACTATATATTTTTTGTTTATTCAATAATTTATTTTGAGACAAGGTCTTGCTGTGTTGCCCAGGCTGGCTCCAACTCCTGGGCTCGGGGGATCCTCCTGCCTCAGCCTCTTGGGTAGCTGAGACATATCCCACCACATCCAGCTCTAAGGATCTTTTATTTTTTCTCTTTTTCTTTCTTTTTTTGGTGTGTGTGTATTACTGGGCATGGAACTCAGGGCCTCTTGCATACAACCCAAGTGCTCTACCACTGAGCTGCATCCCCAGCCTATAAAGTAATTTTTAATTTTTTTTAATCTGTTAATGGACCTCTGTTTTATTCATTTACCTATATGCGGCGCTGAGAATCAAACCCAGTGCCTCTCACATGCAAGGCAAGCACTCTACTACTGAGCCACAACCCCAGCCCCAAGCTATTTTTAATATAAAAATTCTTCTACTATAATAAATAATAAAATTAATGTCATAATTTTTTATGGCTTATTCTCCCTAAGGTGACTAATAGTTAAGGTTTTGTGAAAAGGAACATATTTTTTATTTTCTTACCTTGATACCACTTTTGTAGGGGATACAGTGGGTTCCAAAGGAAAAGCTATGTGAAGTTGGAGTTCTCTTTTGAGCCTTGGGATATTTGCGTTTCAGCTTTTCGTCCAGTCCCCTATGTAACTCATGGAACAGGCCCTCCTCATTACTACCCCAGCAGAGGTATGAAAGTGTCTTTGTGGACAGGGGTGTGGTTCAATGGTAAGCACTTGTCCCGCGCGCGTGTGTGTGTGTGTGTGTGTGTGTGTGTGTGTGTGTGTGTGTGTGTGTTTGGCCTGGGTTTGATTCCTAGCAAGGCAAAAAAGATAAAAGTGTCGGTGGGCTGCACTCCTGGGATGAAACATGGCCCATGTGGACAGCAGGGAGCCTGGCAGGCAGGTCCCCTGATCTCTCTCCCCATGACTACTGTGAAGAAGCAGCAAATTGTCAAGGAAAGCCCTGGCCATTACTTACTCATGGATTCAACAAGTGTCGGAAAGCTGAAGACCTAGATTCAAATCCTGGTTGAAACCTGGCCTACTATTTAACTTTGCAAACTTGGGGAAGTATGTTAATTTCTCTGAGCCTCAGTTTCCTTATTTATAAAATGGTTAATAAGATAACATTTTTGTTGTAAGGATTGAATGAGATGCCAAATGTTTAATGCCCAGCATACAGCAAACTCTCAATAAATACTAACTGTTAAAGGCCTAATTAAAGAGCCAGATATTGAGGTTCAAGGTCATTCATTCAGGCAAATGTTTGCCAACAGTATTGTAGGTGCCTGGCTTATTTCAGAGAACAAGACAGACAAAAATCCCTCTCCTGAGGCTTACATTTGAGCAAATGCAAAGATTAACTAAAATGTAGCTCAATTCATGGTCATTAACAGTAATTACTATTAATTTCGTATTCATTCTGTGCCAGCCACTATTTAAGTGATTTTCATTACATAACTTGAAGTAAGTTCCTTTTTAAGTCGTCTTTAACCCGCCGGTAGGGGTCATTGCTCTTTGATAGTATGGCAGCTGGATGTCCCAGAGGTGATACAGATGAACAGTGGGGGAGGGCCCTCCCTCAGGTTGTTGGGGTATCAAGTCTAACCACTGCACTTCCCACCCTCCCTTGGGGAGTCTTGCTTTCATGGTTCTTTCTTGATATTCCTGCCATATTGTAGGAGCTGTGATTGATTCCAGATCCTTTTAAAATTAAAAACAAAAACCAAAACACTTTGTACCTGTCTGTCACTTCCACCTCTGCGTGTCCTCGACCACGCGTGTTCTGTTCTTGTGCCCTTGCTGCCCCCATGCCCACAGGGGTTCCTCTAGGATTCCTCTCTAGAGCCGCCGCGGCTGGGTGATGGTGAGTGCGCCTGGACAGGCCAGGTGTTCTGCAGGGTGTGGGTCCGCTGGTGGTGGGAGGGGCAGCTGCCGCCCCTCCACCTCAGTCCTGCCTTGTCTGACTGTGGAAATGGTTTGCTAGTCCCGGGCCTGTGAAGTGGGTCTTGAGGGTGTGTGCTCCTGGTTACTGATGAGGCCCAGCATCTTTTCTGTGTGTTGGCCATTTTGGTCTCCCCTTTGTTGAATGATCTGGTCATATTCTTGGTTCTTTTGGTCTGTGGTGTTGTCGTGTTCTTACTGGTTGTGTGGCTCATTGTAAGTTCTGGTTACTAATCCTTGACCAGTCATGTGCAGGGCAGGTACCTTCTCCAGGTGTCTTGCTTATCTTTTCACCTTATTTATGGTTTATTTTGATGGATAAGCAACTTCGATTTTAATATAGTCAACTATTCACAATCATTTCTTTCTTTTTTTTTTTTAAAGAGAGAGTGAGAGAGGAGAGAGAGAGAATTTTTAATATTTATTTTCTAGTTCTTGGCAGACACAACATCTTTGTTGGTATGTGGTACTGAGGATCGAACCCGGGCCGCACGCATGGCAGGCGAGCGCGCTACCGCTTGAGCCACATCCCCAGCCCACAATCATTTCTTTATTGTTCTTTCCAGTGTTGTCTTAGAAATTCTTTCCCCACTCACAAATTGTATATTATCTTGTATTTATTTTTCAAAACATTTTTAAAAGTTTTTATTTTTTGTTACACATGTAGGCATTCCACATGTAATTGTAAACAAGATGCACATGTCCTGATTTTCAAAATTTATTCTGTGGCCAGGTGCAGTGGCACACCCCTGTAATCCCAGCAACTCAGGAGGCTGAGGCAGGAGGATCACAAGTTCAAAGCCAGCCTCAGCAACTTAGCAAGGCCCTAAGCAACTTAATGAGACCTGTCTCAAAATAAAAAAGGGCTGGGGATGTGGCTCAGTGGTCAAGCACCCCTAGGTTCAATCTCTGGTACCGCCCCCCCTCAAATAAATCTGTTATTGTTGTAAGGTCCCAGGAATCCATTTTTCTTTTCTTAAGCAATATGGATCACTGACAGGTCCAGCGCCTTTGGTGTATAGACTGTTCTGTCTGATACCAAGTTTCCATGCAGGTAGGACCTGTCTGGGACCCCTTTGGGTAGCTGATCTGGTTTTTGGCTCCTGGGCTGACATCACCTGGTTGATCTCCCACAGGGAGGGGCTGTCTGTCCTGTTTCCTTCTTTCAAAATTACTTTGTTATTCTCCGTTCTTTTTCTTTGTTCCTCCACTTGGATTTTAGAATCAGCTCACCTAGGACCTTAAAGACAGTGCTTCATCTAGACCACGTGCTTCCGTCGCACCAGACGCCATGCCCGTATCCTTCCCACACTGTCTTCACCACAGGTTCTCGTCCATGGATCTACTTTCATTTTGCACTGATTACCTTTTCTTTTTAATACTTACAAACTTTAGCCACTTTTGTGTAGGACTCAGCGTCTCAGTTGGTCATGGTGTGATGGACGGCTCTGCTGTGGTGGAACGCTAGCTCTGGTAGCCAGAGTTGGAAACCTCTGGGCTGAGTAGATTCCATTGTGTGTGTGGACCACTTGGTTTATCTGGTGTCCCCAGGTTCACAGTTGGGTCATTTCCATCTTTTGGCTGTGGGGGACAGTGCCCCTGTGAACACTGCTGTACAAGTATCTGAGTCCTTGTTTTAAATCTGTGGCTGTTTTCCCAGGATTGGAGCTATTGGGTCACATGGTGATCCCATCCCCTGGGATCTGCCAAGCTGCGCTCTGCAGTGGCTGTTCCACTTGACATTCCCATCAGCAGTGTGCAGGGGTTCTAGTTCCCCAGTGTCTCCAACACTTATTTTCCTTTAAAAACAAAAAAGAGAAAACCCTCTGGCCACTGTCGTCAGTGTGAAGTGGACTCTCATTGTGGTTTTGATTTGCATTTACCTAATTTCTAATGATGTTGAGCATC